TATTTGCATTCAAAAGCAAAGTCAGAAGTATAGCTCAAGGCTATATGTATATGTTTCCTAAGGAACATAAGACATAAATAGCATTTTGAATTATAATTATTTTGAATCATAAATTTAAAGATACAGACTTGCATTTTTTGAAAAGGAGGGCATTGTCTTCATTCAAATTATTTTCACTGGATGTATGTGTGTGCCATATGCTGTGGCAGGTATTAGATATAAAAGGTCAAGGGCCTGTTAAGAAGCTTGGTGTTGAGAGTGGAGGAAACTAGCTATAATCAGGTTTGGGATTTCAGAGCAAGAAGGAAAATCTCTGTGCTGGTTATTAGGGATATTCAATGAGATTCTGGTTCCTTTTCTTGGCTTATGGTAGAACTGTGCCTTTTCATCTCTTTAAAATTAGGCATGGCTTATTTTGGTTAATGAACTATGAATGGAAATAATAACAGTCAGATCTTGGTGGAGCCTCTTTCCTTCACAGTGACTGGTAGTGTTCCAGAAGGTAGAGGCTTCACTGACCTTAGATCATGAGGGAGGGTGACATGAAACAGAATCCCCAACTATCCTGCAGTTATGCATAATATGATTACCAATATGCCTTTATTGCTTTTTTTTAAAGGCACTGATATTTGGAAAATGCTTATTATTACAGCATAGCCAAACTTATACAGGCTATTACAGGTTTTATGCCGTACAGAAGGGTAGTTGTGTTTCTTACTCATTTATATCCTTGCCTTAGCTTTTACCTACTTCATTATATGTAGACTCAGATGAATTTTTCATTTTGTTCAAGTCAATTATATTTAAGTCTTTGCATGTCTGGTTGATTGTAAGCTCCTTGAAGGCAGGGTCCAGTCATGTTTATGCATGAATTTTTATTGAGAGAGCTGCCGTTATTTTAGGAATCTAAAAGCAGATCACAGCATTGGCTAGCTTCTAAATAACTGCTTTAAAATGGAGATAAAGCTCTGTGCACACCTGGTTATATATTCAGCTTTAAAATATTTCAGAAACATGCTAATTTCTTTGATAACACTGGAGTTGTAGATTCATGGAATTTGCTGCCCATGACCTAAACTTTTGGGTCAGTGCTTCTTGGTTATGAGTCCTTAGGTTTAACTTTTACTGTGTTGTTTTCCTAACCTGTAAACTGCATGGAACACTTATCCTCCTCATTTCTCTGGATATTGTGGAACCAAAATGGCAACTCAGGATTTCAAAATGCTGTACAAATACGATGTGATATTCATGTTATTGCTGTTAGCAGTCTGATTTTTGGATCATTAGAGAAACTGGGTGTAATGCAAAGTCTTTGCAGCTGATTAGACCTGGGTTTGAATTTTTTCTCCATCACTTAATAGTTGCATAATGTTGGGCAAGCAACCAATCCTAGCATATTGCCAATTCCTCAAAATTTAATATAGAATACTTTTTTTATCCAAATGTTCTTAGAGGAGAAGCCTGGCATGCTACAAGGTCATTAAGCTTTGAAATGATATAGGGAGAATTCAAAACCCACCTCTACCACTTAATTAGATGTGTGCTCTTGGGTATGTTCATTAATCTTCTGGACTCTCAATTTCCAGATCAATAATGGGGACAATACTGCCCATTTCCCAAGGTGAAGAGACTACTTGATGTGAAAGTGTTGACTTACTATGCCTTTGAAATGATAACATATTTGTTCATCACAGAGCAAATTTTATCTCTAAAAATTTTGAATCCAAGTTATTCATAGAAAAGTCTCAGTAACACTAAGCTACTTTTAAAGGGATCCCCTCTCTCATCCAGACATAGAGAAAATGCTGAATAAACTTTATCCTCAAACTTGGGTTGACTTGTGAAACTCCAGAACAGACAAGATTCCTATTTTCCTGAAGGACATGAGACCTTCTTGTGCTTCCTCATTCTCCTTTTCTCTTTTCTTTTCATGGAATGACAATGGCTCAAAATCACCATAATTGTACAAAAGAAGTTTTAGAAGAAAAATAAAAAAAGATAGGGGCCACATTCCAATAAAGACGCTAACACTACATGGACAAAACACTCACATTTGGGGGCTGTTTTCTTAAACACCCAATCCTGGCCCAATGAAATTGCTCACTCTGGTCATTGTCTCAGACTATGCAGCTGGCCAATGGACAAATTCCATTCTAGAGCAGGAGGGTGAGCTAGGCTTCCAGAGAGAAGCAGATTCTCGGAGCACAGACAACCTCTGAGTTCTGATCTTGATGGAACACCCTTGCTTTCACATTGAGTGTGATTTTTGCACCAGCTGCTCTGGCATTACTGAGATCTTGTTAGAAATGCAGACTCTCAGGGCCACATTCAATATTCACAGACCCACTGAATCAGATTTACATTTCAGTAAGATTCACATGCACTTGAAAGTGTGCAAGGCAAACTTTGTGCTATAAGGTTTAAATAACGCCTGACACCAGGTGCCAAAGGGAGCCTTTTTTTTTTTTTTTTTTTAGGATTTGCTGGGGAAAACCCACAAATCCCTTCACCAAAATTCTTGAGCTAGACAACATATTCGAGTAATGAAGCAATGGTCTCCATCCTACCACACACATGCAGCACTTCAAGTACAATACATTATTCACTTTCTAATAAAGCATCCTTGGATTTTGAGAGTTGTGTAAAATCTTAGGGCCAGGCAGTTGCTAAAATGTTAAATAACCTTCCTTTTCTGTAACTATTGGTTTTGGATGATAGAAGTCATGCATATAGTCATATTTCAGAGAAATTACCATGCCTTAATGAGAACTTTAGGTTGAAGGAAGACATTTCAGTAAAATGATAGTGAAATTGATATGATCAAAATGAAATATGTGGCATATTTATCTAATCAGCTAGAGCTGCAATCTCTAACCATAGTCATTTACAGCTCAATCAACTCATCTAGTCATTATCAGCTAATGATACAATGAGTGATTACCCCCACATTGAGATAATAAGTGAGTTCATGAAAATCAGCACTTCTATTATAAAGTGTGACAGGTAGGACTGAAAATAGGTCTTTGAATGCAGTTAGTGCCTGGCATACCTGACAACAATTTAATAGGAAAAAATGGAACTGCAGAATATAAGATGAGGTACAACCCTTTGGAAAGCAACTTAGCAATTTGTATCAAGAATCATTAAAATGTTCACACTTCTGTACCACACAATTTTTTTAAGTTTAAAACAATACCAAACTTTCATAAATTGCAACTGGAGCACACAGAACTTTTTCTGTACCATTTGAGAATAAGTTGCTGATAGGATACACTATTGTCTTTGAAAACTTTAGGGAGAATTTCCTACAAACAAATATATTCTCCCACATAACAGCAATGCAACCATCAAAGTTAGGAAATTAGCACTGATACCTTGCTACCTCTTGCCCTCACACCCTATTCAGGTTTCACCATGGTCTCAATAATGTTTTCATAGTAAAAGGATCTAGTTGAGAAGGTGTCGATAATGTCTGTATAATAAGGGGATCGAGTTCAGAATCCGGTTGCTTTGAGTTGCCATGGCTCTGTAGTTTCCTTCCATATGGAACGGTTCTACTTTCTCCCTGACTTTTTATCATTATGCCACTTTGGCAGATTAGAGGCCAGTTATTTTATACCTCAGTTTTTGTTAGTCCTATGTTCCCTTAAGATTTGGTTACCTGATTTTGGTAAATATATTACAGAAGTGATAGTATTCTCCTCATTGAATTCTAAGAGGTGGCATATAATTTTGATTCGTTGCTTTATTAGTTGTATGTACTTTAATCACTTCATCCAGGTGGTATCCGTCAGGTTTTCCCACAGCAAAATTATTATTTCCTTTCATAATTAATAGCTATTAACTTTGAGATGATATAAATACCCAATACCTCATCAAGATTTTTGTTTATTCATCTATTTATGTAATATTATTTGTTTATTTAGATTAGGACAAACTCACATATTCCTGTTTTATTCAATGGGCTTTAATCTATTACATCATTACTTAATTTGCTGCTCAATTTTGTCCCAGATTTCACCAGTAGGGAACTCCAAGTTGATTTTTGTGTTATTTGGACATGCCTCCATCATGTTTTTTTTTAAAAAACATGTAATTCTTTTATTATTCTGTAGGAAGTACCACAATATATAGAACAAAACTTTCCCTTTTTGAAAATAAAATTATAAACCCATATTATCACTTACATACAATTACTATACTCTCTATAGCTGATCATTAATTAAATATATAAGTCCAACAATGTAGTCCTCTTGCTATTAGGCAAAAAACAAAACAAAACAAAACAAAAACAAGAAACGTTTATCCAAAAGTGGAGTGACCTTGGTTTTCCTCAACAGTATTTGGTCAACTGACCTGAAGGACTAAATTCAGGAATGATTCCATGTATGTGCACATGTTAAAGTACTTTAGATTCAGATTTCAAACTAATTCTCACTCCTCAAAAACATAAATATACAAGGATGGATCCTTCACAGAAATCAAGACAAATCAATCAATCTGAGCTAATTCAAATACAGAAAAAATATATGGCACAGAACGTAAGTCATGATGGAGTTTTCTTTAGTTATACTGAATCTCCTATCATATTTGCCAGCAAAAATTTCAATTCAAATTTTACAGACATCTTTCTTCAATTTTATCAGTCCTGCTCTAAGCATAAAACAAATAATCAAAGTAATAATAATAATTATTATTAAATAGACAAAACAGATAAATGACAAGTAAAAAGACTAACAATTTGGATTCCCTTATTCTTTCACCCAACAGAGACTAGACCTGTATGATCCATTAACCCATGCATCTGTATTACCAAATGTTAGACCATAAAACCAAATTCCACAAATTACTGTTGCCATCATTACTTGTACTTCATGTGTGACTCAGAAATAAAAACAAATGCAAAATTAGTGTATGTGGGGGGAATCCCTACAAAATCAAAACAAAAACAGAGGCAGAAAAGTTCAAGTTCTATTGTTAGACGTTAAGAAAAGATGTACCTGTATGTTCTTAAGCCCACTTAGGTGTCACCTTTCTGGCAATGCTGTTTACCTGGCTGTGTCAGGGCATCTTGACTTCGAACCTGTTAAAATATAATTAAAAAGAAAGTCAAGACTCATATATAAATACAAAAAGATCCTATGTCAAAATTTGTTAATTACATTATTAAAGAGGGAGCTGATAAACTATTATAACCCATTTCTATGGTGGCTTCTAGAAAAGGAAAAGAAGAGGGAAAGGAAAGGAAAGGAAAAAAACAATAATAGAATAGGAAGAAGAAGAGATTACTAGGCAATTTTAATTCTGAAACCTAATCCAAAAGAAAAATCTAAATTAAGGATATAGTTTTATGAATTAAGATCTTCATTTCAGCACTATATTTAATAGATGACAATTAGGAAGCAACCTAATTGCCCATCAATAAGGAGAGAGATAATTAGGCAGTTACCAAAAAGATTGGCTGAGGACTGCCTAGTAAAGGGGGCAATCTGAGCACACACATTATATCTAACTCACAGCAACAACAGCTAAAAACAAGGGCATGATATAATTTGTGACCACATAACCCAGTTTATTTGGGACAGTCCTACTTTACCCGTGTTGTCTTATAATTATAAATCTCCTTTTTTTTTTTTTTTTTTTTTTTGCTTTGAAAAGTTTAGATGATAAATTATATGGTCACTCTAGCTATCTTTAGTTGGCCAGAGGTAAAGGGATAAAATCTCAATCTCAGTCATTTCTCTGGGAAACATCCTGTAAGAGGAGATCACAAACATTAAGTCTTTCTGTAGTGTTTACACCCAATTTACACTTAGGTCAGAACAGTGGCTCACACATTATAAGCACTCAAAAATGTTAGCTATTTTGATTGCTGTTCTTACAGTTGATGTAACTAGACAAGTTGAACAAATACAGGGCACTGCTGACAATTTATGAGGACCACCTGAGACCTGGGGTGCTGGCTGGAGTAGCCTGGCTGCTCTAACTGGATGTAGACAATGCTGAGACGCACAGGGACGAAGCACCCTGCTTTGACTACTCCTGCTTTTGCTCATTATTTCCCACTGACTTCCAGACTTAACCACAGCAAAATTAAGTTTTCTCTGCCATTTATTTGGGATAGAAAGTTTGAATAGAGATATCAACAAGTTAGACTGATCTTAACTCATAAAGCAGACGAGCCCATATGTATGAGAACCTATAGAAAAGCAGAGCATTCAAGAGGAGGGGGCAAATCTAGCCATCAAATTGTCTCTTATTACTGAAGCAAAAGGAATTTTCCACTTGTTAAATAATGATTGTCTGTTGCTCTCCCCATGAGCAAAGGCACTGCATATACACTGTTGATAAAAAAGTAAATCAGCACAAATTTTTAGAGTACAATGTAACAGTACATGTTAAAGCCATTAAACGTATGTAAACATTTAGGCACAAGAACTCTGCATCTGCAATGTGCTTAAAGATTTAGCTAAAGGAGGGCCTCCCCGGTGGCGCAGCGGTTGAGCGCTGGGTTGCGAAGCTGCCCGCGGCCTCGGCGGCGCCGGTTCGATCCCCGGCTGCTCCCCGGCCACCGGAGGAGGATCCCACATGGTGCGCAGATCTCTCCTGCCACCCGCTGCTCCCCTCAGCAGTGTACTTCAGTCCTTCTGCCTGCTCTGCTCCCCACTCTGGCTCTGGTGAATTCTCTCACCTTCCCGCGCTTCTGACTGTACCCAGTGCATGTATAAACAAAACAAACAAACAAATATAATAAATTAATAAATAAAAACATGCCTCTATTAAAAAAAAAAAAAAAAAAAAGATTTAGCTAAAGGAATTTCAGTTTTGTCTCACTTATAATGAAGAAACAAACAAAAATTCAAAAGTAGAAAATTTTTAAATTATGATACGTTCATATGATAGAATACAATGCAGCTTTTAAAATATTAAGGGATCAATTGTACAGTGAAGGACAGAATTAGTCTTTAGTGGTGAATTTTATGTAGTATATACAGATGTTGCTTTTTAATGATGTACTCCTGACACTTATATAATATTATAAGGCGATGTTACTTCAATAAAAATATTACTGAACACATAATGCCATGAAAACAAATCCATACACATGGTAATGAAAAATAAGATTTAAAACAATACGATCCTATTTAATTTTGAAAACTTAGCAATGGCTATTTTAGGTGACCAAATAAAACTATTTTTTGTGTTGTGCTTATTTCCATTTTTCAAATAGAATTTTTTAAAACTATGAATATTCATTGTTGAGATTCTGCTAAACAATTTTATGATAAATATAAGATCATTAAAGCATTTCTATTATTTGTTCTGTCAGCAACCTGGCTGTAACAAATATAAAATGTAAAGAAGTGTTTAAAAGCATATTTCTTAAAATATTACTTACAATAGAGGAAAATTAGAAATAATCCGAAATTTCAACAATATAAGTCTTTGATTTTAAAAATCACAGTACTGTCATATAAATAAAACATTATCAGTGGTTAAAACATATGGTCAAATACTTCTAAACAACACTGGGGAAATATGATATAATGCTGAGAGACTAAAGTAGGCTATAACATTTATTTAGTTTGAGTTATATGGAGCTAATTCTGGTTCCTGTCAAAAGCACACAGCTATACTGCATCTCAAAAGTCAAGACTAAACCAGGAATGAAAATTAACATATATAATTTTAACATATATAATACTACTGTTATGGGTTTCATTCTGTCCCTGCAAAACACATGTTGAAGTCTTAACCCTTGGCACCTGTGAACATCACCTTGTTTGGATATAGGTTCTTTACAAATGCCATCAAGTTAAGATGAAGTTATACACCATTAGGTGGGTCCTAATCCAATATGACTGGCCTACTTATAAGATGAAAAGAGAAACAGACAAACGCAGAGGGAAGATGACCTGAAGACACACAGAGAAATGGTATGAGTGGAGTACTATGTCAATGAAGACCAAAATTGCCAGCAACAACTGAAAAGCAGGAAGAGACAAGGAAGGAGCCTCTCTTAAAACCTTCAAGAGAGAGCATGGCCCCGCCAACATCCAGATTTCAGACTTAGAGCCTCCCAAGAATAAGACAATGAATTTCTATTGTTTTAAGCCGAAACAATTGATATAATCCATTCTGTAAATGTATATTCTATATAGAATATACATAAGTGCATTGAAAAAATACAGAAAGAGAATGCACTAGGTGATTTTCAGTTTTCTTTGCTATATTTCCTGAATTTACCCAAAGTTTTATTTTATTTTTTTTTAATTCTTTTTTTTTTTAAAGAGTGTAGCAGAGTCTTTTTTTTAAATTAAGATTTATTTATTTATACAAGAACTGGGTACAGTCAGAAGCGCGGGAGGGTGAGAGAATTCACCAGAGCCAGAGCAGGGAGCAGAGCAGGCAGACGGACCAAAGTATACTGCTGAGGGGAGCAGCGGGTGGCAGGAGAGGTCTGCGCGCCACGTGGCCCGGTGCAGCCAGGGATCAAACCGGCGCTGCGGAGGCTGCGGGCAGCTTCGCAACCCAGCGCTCAACCGCTGCGCTACCGGGGAGGCCCCGCCCCACCAAAATTTTAAATAGGAATAGATGGAAATAATATAGTTGTAAAAAGTGAATGGGTGGTTGTGAAGATGTGCAGCAACAGGAAGATTATACTTGATGAAGGATAAAGTACAAGATGCAATGAGGGGTACACTCCATATTACAGACTGTGAAGCCCTAAACCTTACTGTGCAGCAACTGAAGATGGTGACTCTAGCAAAGTAATTCAAGTTAAATGAGGTCATGAGAGTGGGCCCTGATCTGATAGGATTAGTGTGCTTATAAGAAAGGACCCCAGAGTTTATTCTTTCTCTTTTTATCCTGAGCACACACTGAGGAAGGTGGCCGCCTTCAAGTCACAGAAAGAGGTCTCAGCGGAATCTGAAATGGCCAGGATCTTGACCTTGGACTCTAGTCTCCAGAATCAATGTCTTTTGCTTAAATCACTGAGTCTATGGCAGCCCAAGCAGACTCATACACTGGGTTAAAAAATAATTAGTCCTTTTAGTTAAAAACTAAAAACTAAAAAACTAAATAGTTTTTAGATAAACTCATGCTATTGGCAGCTAGATGGAGCTGGAAGGGATTATGCTTATTGAAATAAGCCAGAAGGAAAAAGAAAAATATCGGGTGGTTTCACTTATAGGAGGAATGTAGGGGAACCAAATAAGGGATCAGGAAAAAATTACAATAAATAAAAAAAAAAACAAAATTAAGAGGTAACTATATAAATCAGAGACATTCTGCAGGGGAGTGGGAGGGAGAGGGATCAACAGGGGAGGGAAGAGCACAAGGGACTATGGGGATGGGGCACAGGTGAATTGGTGGTGGGAATTTTCCCGGGACTACACCTGAGAAGAGAATGCAAATATTGTACAAAAATGAAGAATGATGAAAAATACATATAATAAAATTTAAAAATTAGTCTTTTTTTTTTTTTTAAATGAAAGGAAACACTCCAGAGAGTAATGTCTGGTGGATCTCTTCCTCCCTGACCTGTTTCTAAACACAACAGGAGGGTAGTGGACTGACAGGTGATGAATTGCAGGTCATGGGAACAAATCCCAAAGCTTCTGCTAGAGCATAAACCCAAGGTGGGCTACTGGGGTGTGGCTGCCCGACTCCTGGAGTCTCATGTTCTGTGTTGGTACCTGATTTTAATAGTAGGTCAGCGACTCAGGAACACATTCAGAGGAGATTAACTAGGTCTGTGAAGGCTTTTTTAGAAACAATATCTGGGCTGATGGGGTGGAGAGGGAACAGTGTCTTGAGGATATAACACCTCTGGCATTCTCTGCCACCTCTAAGATTCTAAGATTCTCTTGGAAATTCTCTTACTTAGAAATCTCTAAAAATAACAGATAGGTATTTAAATGATTATATATCAGACTTGAATTTTCTTTATCCTGCTCTGTCCTTAAAGAAAAAACAGAGGGTTTTTAAAAAAGAGGTAGTAAAGGAGGAAATGGTGTCACACAATCTTATTATCTGGCAGAACACAGTCATTGCAGATTCAGAGCCTCCAGTGAGTAA